CTACCCTCTACGGTTACCAAAAAATGGAGATACTTGTCATAAGTATCCTCGATTTTGTACCACAAATACTGTAATTCGGTGTTTCGAATTTTTAAATTGAAATATATGTTTATATGTGTATATATATTCTTTTTTATGTGTTTTGTACAATTTTATTTTCTGTGTTTATATTTCATAAAATTGTCCTTTGTGTTAATAATTACTGTTCAATGTTTGTACAATGTTTCCTTTCCTGTAGTATTGATATTTGTGTTGTAAAATCACTGTTTGATTTTTATAAAATTATTAACATCAATAATATTTTTCCTTTATTTTAATCACTTTAACTTGTCACACGGGGGGAAACTTGCGTTCGCGATTGTAATTCGATTCGAACTCACTAATCTTCAATTTGCATTGTCACATCAAACCAGTTTTGGTTGTTGACGATGCTTATTAATTGGAATTCAGCATTGGAATTTACCGGTGGCTGCATAAATGAATGTGTGTATGTTCATGTGTTTACATTATTTACATCATTCCGTTTTGATGCTTTTTATGCAGCCAATACCCAACCAACAATGTTGGGCAAAATTGCGTAAATTTATGAACATTTTCTGGGCCCCAATGACAAGTGTAAGTATTCACTTGTAATATACCATAAGAATGGTCGTTCTTCAGTTCCTCGGCATGTTCTTGATGGGCCCAGCAAATACGTACCCCAGCTGAGTATTGTAGGCCAGGACATCGCCAATTCCTTCTGCTGTGCGCCCATTCTTCTTTAAGGCGGAGTAAATGTACACCAGTCAATTTCGGCAATACCCCCGACGATCCACTATCTCATACCGCTGGAAGGGCATCTGCCTGCGGAACCTCTCACTGGCACTGAGGGCATGGTCTTCTTGGCATAGTTCACATGAATATTGCCAGTAGCTAGGTCTCTCATGGCGCTGGCGTGGTCTTGCGTTGACGGCTTTCAGGGGATGTGGAAGTGGGACAATAGGTTGGCCATATGGGTCTATTGGCGCTTCTTGCTGTTAGATGGAGATGGCGCTTCTTGCTTTTAGGTGAGTCTGGGCTACGGCTGCGATCGTCTAGACGGCAGTCCTGGTTGGGCAAGTAAGCGGCTACATCTGAAAAAAAATAAAGACGAGTACTAATTTTTTTTTGAGTGAGAATCCGACTAGTCAGTCGGAAAACAGTTTGGCAATTTTTGTTATAGGTCTGCTAATGTTGCCACTTGCCATCCATATGTCTAGAACTCTGGTATTTTGGTCACTGCCTGGATACTTTTTTATATTTCCACTTAGATCTTCTGTGAGAAACGTGAAGATATTCTAATTTCTATCTGTTGCAAAAATATTGCGGAATAACTTGTAGTCTTTTCCAACGATTGACTAAGCTGAGATCTGAATCTGAAATGTCTGATTCAGCTAGAGTAAGAATGGATGTTCCTATTAAGAAATGACCAGTTGTCAAAGAGAAAGGTCATTTGGGTCGTCGCTAGCAGGACTTAAGGGTCCCGAATTAAGACAGCCTTCAATTCTTGGTAGAAAGTGGTAAATTCTTCAAAAGTGAAGTTCATTTTTGGGATACTTTTACGCAAATGAATTTTAAATGATTTAACACCAGCTTCACACAAGCCGCCCATGTGCGGAGCACCAGGAGGAATAAATTTCCAAGCAAGATTTTCAGTGAAGTTGTTTTGAATCGTGCTATTTTGAAATTTCTTCATGAAAGTTAATCGATCTCGCTTTAATAAATCAACAGCTCCCGCAAAGATAGTTCCGTTGTCAGAGAATATACAAGATGGACAACCTCGCCGACTTATGAACTGGAAAAAGGTAAAGGGTCGAGACAGAAAAGCACGTTTGGGTTTGTTATTTTTTTTATAAATTAAGCAAATTCGACATTTTCGTATGGATCTTAATACTCGGGTCATTAATTGATTACCATCGTGTAAGATAATCATATGAGTAAATTCGACTAACAATTTGCTATGTTTTGCGCCATGTGGTAGTATTATTGGATGGTGTTCGCTATACGAAAGGGCTCGCGATTGTACTAATCTGCCATTTGCTCTAATAATACCCTTTGAGCCTAGAAACAGGTTGAGTGTCAACAGAGGACTTGAAGGAGAAATTTAAGTCTTTTTCATAAGTGTGTTGTATTCGTCTGCATATACCAATTTCTGGGTACGAATTATGCAAGATCGTTTACCATCTTGGATTTCAGCTGCTGTAAGGTCTTTTGACGAGGTACGAAGATGTTGCCTATTTGCTCCAGTATTTTTCCAGAGTCTTAGAGCATATGCACATGATCGATAAACTTTAGCTAAAGACGAGAAATTTTTGCCGTTTTGGCTTCCAAATTTGTGTCATTTAGAATATCTTGAGATGGCCAACGGTGTTTAGGCATTCTGAGCCATTGAGGTCTCTGCCACCAGAGTTCATTGGTCCTTAGCTTTGCGGATGAATATCCACGGCTCGCAATATCAGCTGGATTGTTTTTCGAATCGACATGTCTCCAATGTTCTTGTCCAACATTATCAGCAATTTCAGAAACTCTGTTTCCAACAAATGTGCTCCAATGACAAGGAGGCCTTTTTAACCATGCTAAGACGATGGTAGAGTCTGTCCAAAATTGTTTCGAATATTTGGATATTTGTAGACTATATACAATGGATTTTGCTAATTTTAATAGTAATACTGCCCCGCATAATTCGAGTCTAGGTATTGATAGTTTCTTAATAGGAGCGACACGAGTCTTTGCTGCTAATAATATATAGCGTAGCTCCATACGAGCTTTCCGACACGTCACAAAATCCATTAATTTCTACAGAACCATCTAGCATTCATCGAGGAACTCTCAGATATTCAATATCTTTGCTATTTTTAACAAAATTGTTCCAGTTCATTCATTCATTAGTTATTGACTTCAATTGATCATCACAGTCAATTTTGTCTAGCCAGATTTGTTGCATTATTAGCTTAGCTACAACAACCACCAAACAATTTGGCTATCGTTGATAAAACTTCTCGCTTTGAAGATACATTCTTATTTTCCATTGAAGGTGGGGTGAAGGAAAAATAATCGCCTGAGATATTTAATCGAATTCCAAGGGTCTTAGTAGAAGCATCTTCGGAAATGTCTAGCCAATTGAGTGGCTGTAAATGTTCATGTAGAATATCATGTATTATTTTGTGATCATTTGATGCCCATTTCATCAGTGTAAAAACGGCAGATTCTACAGCGGCAGTTAATTCATTTCGGGTTTTGATTGATTCATCTTCAGTGTGGCCGCCAGCTAATACATCATCAACATATAAATTATTCAAAATTATATTTGCGGTTCTATGATATGATTCTTTTGCATCTTCTGCTAGTTTAAGGGGAGTTCTCAATGCTAAATATGGTGCGCAGTTAACTCCAAATGTAACTGTAAGCAGCTAATAATTCTGTACTGAAGTTTCAGGAGACTGTCTAAAGAGAATTCTTTGATATATTGTTTGCTTTGAATCCAAAAGTATTTGGTGATACATCTTTGTTATATCTTGAAGGCATGTTTGAAGAATCACCATTTTAAAATGTGCAATACTAAATCCTGTTGTAAAATGGGTCCACCAAATAATATGTCACTTAGACTTGTTTTGTTTGTTATAGGAAAGAAGCATTAAATACAACTCTTAACATCGTTGTGAGTCGATCTGGTTTTATCACCGCGTGATGTTGTAGATAATCAATCTTATTACGGTTGCCGTAGTCGTATCGAAAACTGCAACTTGACGCTTCGTAACGAATAATTGGTATTATGTGTGTCGCATGCGAGAAATTACAATTCTGCATGAAATTCTGTTACAATTTTCGTACCACAAAACGCGTTCTAATTCGACAAACGCTGCAAAATTAGTCGTTAGAGATTTTGTTGCCGACAACATACAAAAGTTTTTCCCAATTGAGATTACAAAAGAATAAATAATATACAAAATGGATTTGAATAAGAAGTATGTATCAACATTACAAAAATATATGTATGTACATCTGTTAACATTTCGTTTATTCTAGATTTAAAGTCACATCGAAGAAACAATTTGATGAAATGATCCAGATCTTACAAATGAATAAAAAATTTGGCTAGAGGTTATAGCAATAGCTTAAAAAAATTAACATGGGGCAAAACTCAACATCCTAGGACCGCCGGTTCGAACAAACGAGGCCTTGATGAAAGTCTGGGTCGTCTACAAATTCAAACTAAGGAAAAAGCTAGTTCATAATAAGGCAGAATGTCGTGCTACAGGTGGAGGGCCCTTCAAGCAGTTCATTTTAAGCGACACGGAAGAAGCAGCATCCCGCTTGTTACAATTGGACACAATTGTAAATGCAGGAAACCAAGCAATTGGAATTTAACAGCGTCAACTACTGGTTGAACTGGAGACTGAGTTGGAAGATTTTGAAGGGTTTAATTAGTTTAATTAGTGAAGACAAAGAAAACCACAATCCCTGCACACTGACTCCTCGAAGTGTAAACACTCTACACTGAAATACGCAACAGAAGCAGGTTTTGGTCATCCTGGATGTCTGTACGCTTCCCCCTGTAAGCACAAATAACCCGCATCAAAATTAAATTCAGCAAGAGCTTCCAACGACTTCTTCGATGTTAAACGATCATTAAATGATATTGAGAGGTACCAACGCAAAAACTACAAGCTGAATGAAGAGATGTTAAAACAAACAAAACTTAGCTATAAGTTAAGGGAAGAAATATTAAAACTTCTTAAAGAAGAATATAAAAATAAGACGGAATTCAGAAAGGAACTATTGCGATGCGGGAAAGATGAAATTGAAATTAGAAGAAACAAGGAGTAGTTTTCAGTGAAACAATTTATGTATATAACTTGAAGCATAGCTTTTATATTTAAATATTAATAATTAATTTTATTTTTTATACGATAATAACAAAATGAATTAAATATTTAAAGATAGCATTATTGATTATCTTATGTCTAATGTATTAAAATCGTCGTTCATTTCAACATCATTGGGATCTGACATGACGTAGAGGTTTGTGTTAACTATCGGCATTTCAATTTTGAAATGTATGCAAATGTTGTGTAATGCTGCACAAACTGCTGTTACTTTCCCACACATATCAGGGGTGTAATGCGATTGTCTCGCTCCTAATATACATCGAAATCTGTTTTTCAACACACCAATTGCTCGTTCAACTATATTTCCTGTTTTTTAATGTATTTTGTTGAATCTACACTCTGGTGAGCCTTCGTCAGCAGGTCTAAATGGCGTAATTAAAAATTTTTCCAATGGATATCCTGCGTCACCTAGAACGAACTTTTTAGAATGCATTACTAATTTTATTTAATATACATACCTAATATCCATGTATTTCTTTCGCCATTTTCAAATTTTTCTTTCAAGTGTTGTTTCAAATCACTTGTATTCCGAACCAACGAATCGTGAACGGATCCATTCTGGTGTGACGATATATCTCTAATTCTTAATTTGTGATCACACACCTACAATAATACAGTGACTAAAGCTATTTGCATTATTTATAAGTTATCCATCATACCACCGTTACATTAAGACTGTAGACAATCTGTCTTCCATTTTTGGCGCAACAATTTTTTTGTGCGTCCCATCTATACACCCAATCACACCAGGAAATCCAGTATTGTTCAAAAAATTTTCCTTTATTTCATATTTCTCTTCTTCTGCAGTGGGAAAAGAGATCCAATCTGGACACAGCTTATTATGCAATACTTCTATTCACTCGTGGAACACATTGCTGACAGACGGCTGTGATAAACTGACATGGAAATCGTTACCAGCGCCCTTTTGATAACTTCCTTCAGCGAGTATTCGAATCGTTGCCGCTAGTTTTTGTGTATTTGGGATACTTGTAGATTTAACCCGGCTACAAAAATCTGGAATGAGTTGAGCCAAAACATATTTGAATGCATCCTTACTAAGCCTGAAGTAACTAACGTATCTAAAGAAAAAACTGTTTATTTTAGCTTCTTTCCCATTTTACTTTTCACTTACTGGGAATCAGTCATGGAAAATATGTTAGACTCTTGCCGCAATATTTTTCGTTTCACGTTTAAATCGTTTTGAATATATTCATAAAAAATTGCCAACACTTAACATATTTCAATATTTAATTTAACAAATAATCGTTTTACTTCAACTATTTTTACTGCCGCTTTTATTTATTTTAACCGGGTAGCTCTTAAATTCTACAAATGTTTGTTATTCCAGAGCACCCTGTTTTTTCACATCTATTACAAAAAAGGCGTATTCGAAAATTGTACATAATACCAAAAAAAATTAGTTACGACAACGCCAAGCATAATAAGGGTAAATAATTTGGCATTCTATCTATTTCATTCGGAATGATTTTCCTCATATGACCAATTTCTAGGTATTCGAGTATTGAGGCATCATATTGTTCTTTTATTTCTGGTGTTTTCATAAGTTTTTTCTCCATTCTGTAGAATTGAGCTTAGGTGATTTTTCGGGAATTCTTCGCATATTTTGAATAGGAGAGTCACCACATATTCCATCCTTGGTCCGGATTGTTATTTCAGTGTAGTATTGATCACAAAATTGGTCTTCTTCTGACCGTAAAACTTTTTTAGGGGTCTCTCCCATCTCCCAAAAACGTGTAAGTACTTTCTCTGTTTATTTTGTATGTTTGAAGGGTGCTTCCGGGTATGGGTCCTTCAACTATCCATCCAAACTTTGTTTTTGTGTTAAAATTGATCCAAATGTTTGCATCGGAGTTCCAATTGTGAATATTAATGGTTCAATGTCCATTCTAATAAGTAGATCGGTTGGTTGACTGTTCTAATGCTGTTACATCTCGAAGTTGTGATTCATCTAAGTTTTGTAGTGGTAAATTTGAAGAAGTTCTTTAAAACTGAAGCCCAGACTTTCAGTTTAAGGCTAGGGTCGTATTAGGATCTCATAGTAAACAAGCAAGATTTCGTTGAAGTCTCAGAAACACATTGACTTACGCCAGTGACATGAACTAAGTTGTTACGTGTACTTAACTTTGTACTATTGCTGTGAAGAGTAGCGTTCCTCCAGATCGTCGCTCACTAATTTGCTTATCTTGGAGGGTCAAAGTAGTAATAGTAGTTGGTTCTAGGTTTGTAGTAGAGTATTTGATTTGTAAGAGCGGCAGCACTAGTACTAGGTCGTGCTTCTACTTGAGCTTGGTATGTATTTGTTGTTTGGTTTTTCGTTCCATAGTGTAACAAAGTATTGTGTCTCATAGTACAAATACTGCAGCCAAAGCGACTTTTACAATCCTATCCTGCGTGATTTGATGACATGCAATTGTAGCATTAGTGTGATATTTTCACGATGTGAATTCTGCCATTCACATTCTTTTTCAAAAATTTGCTGCAATCTCTGATGAAATGATTTGATTTGCAGCTTGACATGTTTGAGTATTTTTCGGTTTATTTTGTTGAGGTAATATTACATTTGTAGGTCTTCCTCCCAAATTGTTTGTATTTGTTTAGACATTTGTTTGAAATATTTTCAAAAATCTAGGCATATAATTGGTAATTGGTTTTTGTTAAACAAATTTTGCTGTAGAGGGCTTTATATTACCAACTGATTCCAAGGCTTTGAATTAGTTTGTTAAGAAAGCGTCAAACTGTTCCCATTTGGAATTTTTTTACAATCGCTTAATGAGTTCTCGAATTCTTCTAAAAAGCCTCTAGTTAATTTTGTTGAACAAATGTATATTAAAATCGGATCCTATCCTTTAACATCGACATCAAGCATCCCCAGTGTCTGAATGCTGCTATTAAGAGTGTCTTGTAGTTTTTGTGAATTGATTCCGTAGAAACTCCAGGTAGATTAAAAGTGTCTTAGTTTCGTCATTATTTGCATTCTTTAGATCGTTGACACAATTTGTGAATTTATCGCTCAAAGTTTTATCAATTTAGAATGCTAATCGTTAACCTTTACGAAATTTTGTTGTTAAAAAAAGGAAAAGATGCCCAATCAAAGGGACTAACTTGGTTCAAGATTTTAGTTTCTATCCAAATTTTATTTTTGAAATGAGGATGTGTTTCTTACTCCAATTGTTGTCGACGAGAACGATCTTATCTTATTGGTTTGAGTCAAATTATAATTCGTTCCTTTCCAAAAGTTTCAAAAGTTCAAAAATTTACTTTATATTTAAAGCCGGGCTAATTTGATTAAAAATTGTTTGTTGGGTTGCCAGAAGGGGCCAACTTTTAGCTAAAACGAGCAAACAATTAAATAAAAACTCTTAAAGTCCACTTACAGGAGGATGTTATTTTTGCAAATCGAGAAATAATTCAAATGTTTGTTTTTTTTTTAAGAGTGTAAATGAGTGTTGCAAAAGCAGAAATAACCAGAGATATATTGCTGCAAAAAACAATTTTTTTTTTCAAAAACACAAGAGTATAGGTTGATAATCGAAGGGAAGTTGAAAATTCCAAAAAATTTCAAAGAATCCAAAAATTTTTCAACGAAGTAAAAATGTGTGCTGGGTTGTCGAACAGTTTCACTAAAATCGCTTAATATCCTATGACAGAAGGATATTATTTTTAACAAAGCCAATAACTTTGATTATTGCTTTGAAAATTTATCTGATTCAACAAATTTTTTAAATTCTCCAAATTGTTGATCAAAATCGCAACGAGAGGTAGAAAAAAGCATGTATATAAGAAGCCAAATATTTCAGCAGAAATAGTTCAAACAAATAATTTGGGTCAAAATCCAAAAATTTGAGAAAAAGTTTTTAAAGTAATTTGATTTAAGTCAACGTACAAATATTTCAACAAAAATTTTCAAAAAGTTATTATGACCAAGCAAAGTATTTCAAAAGAAAATAATTTGGGTCAACATCCAAATATTTTTAGCAAAGAAAAGTGCAAAAAAGTGTCAAGAAAAACTTTTTATTTTTCAAAAAGTCGTGTAATGTGACACAAAATTCAAAAATATACCAGCAAAATGTTTCTGCGAAAAAAGCAAGAAATTAATTTTGGGTCCCAGATAAATTTTTTTAAGCTCCATAGAGCAAGAGATATTATGCTAAATGGGAAAAAATGTTATTTCAAAAGAAAATAATTTGGGTCAACATCTAAATATTTTTAGCAAAGAAAAGTGCAAAAAAGTGTCAAGAAAAACTTTTTATTTTTCAAAGAGTCGTGTAGTGTGTCACAAAATTCAAAAATATACCAGCAAAATATTTCTGCGAAAAAAGCAAGAAATTAATTTTGGGTCCCAGATAAAATTTTTTAAGCTCCTTAGAGCAAGAGATATTATGCTAAATGGGAAAAAATGTTAAAATTAGAATAAAAAATTAAAAATTGAAGATATATGGTATCGATATTGTGTCTGTCCGCCAGACCCCGATATTAAATTTGTTCTCCAAAATAATAAATAAAAATAAATTTGTGGGTTAAATTTCAAATGTATGCCTTGCTATGGTACGCTTTCACGACGTACTTTCAAGAGTACTCACTTGGGATTTTCTTTGGGTCTCGGTGTTTTACCTTGTTTGTTGTTGTGCTGCTTGTGTCCGTCCTGCTTGCTGCTGGTTCTACAATTTTCCGTGTTGTTGCTCTTTGTGTCACTGTTTATTGTCTCTTTTTGCATAGCGGTGTGTACGTTCGCTTTTTGTTTCACTGTTTACTGTCTATCTTTCTTAATTATTTATTTTTTTTTTTTTTCAATATCTAAAAATGTATTTTTTTTAACTTTTTTATCTTTGCACTTATGTTTTAAACTCACTGTATTTTTGTTTTTTTTTTCTATTCTTGTGTCTGTCTGTCCACTCACAAAATTTTTTCTCGTTTTTTAATAATTTAAAAACTTCACTTTATGATCCGGCTCTGGAGAACCAAATGTTTTTAGGCTTACCTTTTTTGCCTTTTGTAGCGTTTTTAAATTATAATAAATTTTTGTTTTGTGTTTTATTTAAAGTTATTTTGTATTATTCAATGTCCATTCTAATAAGTAGATCGGTTGGTTGACTGTTCTAATGCTGTTACATCTCGAAGTTGTGATTCATCTAAGTTTTGTAGTGGTAAATTTGAAGAAGTTCTTTAAAACTGAAGCCCAGACTTTCAGTTTAAGGCTAGGGTCGTATTAGGATCTCATAGTAAACAAGCAAGATTTCGTTGAAGTCTCAGAAACACATTGACTTACGCCAGTGACATGAACTAAGTTGTTACGTGTACTTAACTTTGTACTATTGCTGTGAAGAGTAGCGTTCCTCCAGATCGTCGCTCACTAATTTGCTTATCTTGCAGGGTCAAAGTAGTAATAGTAGTTGGTTCTAGGTTTGTAGTAGAGTATTTGATTTGTAAGAGCGGCAGCACTAGTACTAGGTCGTGCTTCTACTTGAGCTTGGTATGTATTTGTTGTTTGGTTTTTCGTTCCATAGTGTAACAAAGTATTGTGTCTCATAGTACAAATACTGCAGCCAAAGCGACTTTTGCAATCCTATCCTGCGTGATTTGATGACATGCAATTGTAGCATTAGTGTGATATTTTCACGATGTGAATTCTGCCATTCACATTCTTTTTCAAAAATTTGCTGCAATCTCTGATGAAATGATTTGATTTGCAGCTTGACATGTTTGAGTATTTTTCGGTTTATTTTGTTGAGGTAATATTACATTTGTAGGTCTTCCTCCCAAATTGTTTGTATTTGTTTAGACATTTGTTTGAAATATTTTCAAAAATCTAGGCATCTAATTGGTAATTGGTTTTTGTTAAACAAATTTTGCTGTAGAGGGCTTTATATTACCAACTGATTCCAAGGCTTTGAATTAGTTTGTTAAGAAAGCGTCAAACTGTTCCCATTTGGAATTTTTTTACAATCGCTTAATGAGTTCTCGAATTCTTCTAAAAAGCCTCTAGTTAATTTTGTTGAACAAATGTATATTAAAATCGGATCCTATCCTTTAACATCGACATCAAGCATCCCCAGTGTCTGAATGCTGCTATTAAGAGTGTCTTGTAGTTTTTGTGAATTGATTCCGTAGAAACTCCAGGTAGATTAAAAGTGTCTTAGTTTCGTCATTATTTGCATTCTTTAGATCGTTGACACAATTTGTGAATTTATCGCTCAAAGTTTTATCAATTTAGAATGCTAATCGTTAACCTTTACGAAATTTTGTTGTTAAAAAAAGGAAAAGATGCCCAATCAAAGGGACTAACTTGGTTCAAGATTTTAGTTTCTATCCAAATTTTATTTTTGAAATGAGGATGTGTTTCTTACTCCAATTGTTGTCGACGAGAACGATCTTATCTTATTGGTTTGAGTCAAATTATAATTCGTTCCTTTCCAAAAGTTTCAAAAGTTCAAAAATTTACTTTATATTTAAAGCCGGGCTAATTTGATTAAAAATTGTTTGTTGGGTTGCCAGAAGGGGCCAACTTTTAGCTAAAACGAGCAAACAATTAAATAAAAACTCTTAAAGTCCACATACAGGAGGATGTTATTTTTGCAAATCGAGAAATAATTCAAATGTTTGTTTTTTTTAAGAGTGTAAATGAGTGTTGCAAAAGCAGAAATAACCAGAGATATATTGCTGCAAAAAACAATTTTTTTTTTTCAAAAACACAAGAGTATAGGTTGATAATCGAAGGGAAGTTGAAAATTCCAAAAAATTTCAAAGAATCCAAAAAATTTTCAACGAAGTAAAAATGTGTGCTGGGTTGTCGAACAGTTTCACTAAAATCGCTTAATATCCTATGACAGAAGGATATTATTTTTAACAAAGCCAATAACTTTGATTATTGCTTTGAAAATTTATCTGATTCAACAAATTTTTTAAATTCTCCAAATTGTTGATCAAAATCGCAACGAGAGGTAGAAAAAAGCATGTATATAAGAAGCCAAATATTTCAGCAGAAATAGTTCAAACAAATAATTTGGGTCAAGATCCAAAAATTTGAGAAAAAGTTTTTAAAGTAATTTGATTTAAGTCAACGTACAAATATTTCAACAAAAATTTTCAAAAAGTTATTATGACCAAGCAAAGTATTTCAAAAGAAAATAATTTGGGTCAACATCCAAATATTTTTAGCAAAGAAAAGTGCAAAAAAGTGTCAAGAAAAACTTTTTATTTTTCAAAAAGTCGTGTAATGTGACACAAAATTCAAAAATATACCAGCAAAATGTTTCTGCGAAAAAAGCAAGAAATTAATTTTGGGTCCCAGATAAATTTTTTTAAGCTCCATAGAGCAAGAGATATTATGCTAAATGGGAAAAAATGTTATTTCAAAAGAAAATAATTTGGGTCAACATCTAAATATTTTTAGCAAAGAAAAGTGCAAAAAAGTGTCAAGAAAAACTTTTTATTTTTCAAAGAGTCGTGTAGTGTGTCACAAAATTCAAAAATATACCAGCAAAATATTTCTGCGAAAAAAGCAAGAAATTAATTTTGGGTCCCAGATAAAATTTTTTAAGCTCCTTAGAGCAAGAGATATTATGCTAAATGGGAAAAAATGTTAAAATTAGAATAAAAAATTAAAAATTGAAGATATATGGTATCGATATTGTGTCTGTCCGCCAGACCCCGATATTAAATTTGTTCTCCAAAATAATAAATAAAAATAAATTTGTGGGTTAAATTTCAAATGTATGCCTTGCTATGGTACGCTTTCACGACGTACTTTCAAGAGTACTCACTTGGGATTTTCTTTGGGTCTCGGTGTTTTACCTTGTTTGTTGTTGTGCTGCTTGTGTCCGTCCTGCTTGCTGCTGGTTCTACAATTTTCCGTGTTGTTGCTCTTTGTGTCACTGTTTATTGTCTCTTTTTGCATAGCGGTGTGTACGTTCGCTTTTTGTTTCACTGTTTACTGTCTATCTTTCTTAATTATTTATTTTTTTTTTTTTTTCAATATCTAAAAATGTATTTTTTTAACTTTTTTATCTTTGCACTTATGTTTTAAACTCACTGTATTTTTGTTTTTTTTTTTTTCTATTCTTGTGTCTGTCTGTCCACTCACAAAATTTTTTCTCGTTTTTTAATAATTTAAAAACTTCACTTTATGATCCGGCTCTGGAGAACCAAATGTTTTTAGGCTTACCTTTTTTGCCTTTTGTAGCGTTTTTAAATTATAATAAATTTTTGTTTTGTGTTTTATTTAAAGTTATTTTGTATTATTTTTCAATAGTATAATTTTAAGTTTTTGTAATTAATTTGAATTGTTTTATTCTCTATATCTTATGTTTTAATTCAGTAGTTCACAAATGTTATTCAGGTAAGTTAGCACTTAAGTTTTAAGTCACTAGGTTTTAGGGTTATATTATATATGCCGCCTATAAATACCCAGCCAACAGTGTTGGGCAAAATTGCGTAAATTTATGAACACATGTATTTGAATAACTATCTATTGGCTGAATGACTTAAGAACAAAAACAACATTAGTGTGGTTATTGGTGTTGTTATTAATGTCATTAATTGCGTTTTTGATAATATGTTCCCTGAAAAAAATACATTCTACAATACGGAAAACAAGGTTCTATGAAAAAAACATTCTGCGGATTCATAGCGGACTCCACAAGATAAAAAACTTCCACACGAGGATACGTGGACTTAAAAGGGGAGGAGTTAACAATATAAATGTTTGCCACATCGTAATAAATGCCTATGAATTCTACAAATGCTTCTCAAGTATATAATGCAACAACGGATCTTATTAATGACAATTACAAAAGCTAAGCAGCTAAGTTCGGCCTGGAACCTACAACTTATTGCCTTCTGCAGAATCGCAAATTCCACGCGTAGAACTACATTTGCCGTATGCATATGT